GAAAGAGAAAGGAATTCCAGTAAAATAAAGAGTGTGATATATTCTGGGAACTTCATATAAGTTTGGTTACTGGAGCTACTTGATGTACAACTCACGGGGGGTAAGCAGATGGTGTGGATGTTAAAGAACTGGACCCAATATGGCCAGCTGCATGGCTTGAGTTCTGGACCCAGAGGCTTGAAAATTCACACTGTGCGTGTGCGTGTGTGTGTGTGTGTGTGTGTGTGTGTAAGTACCCAAAATCCCACGTGGACAATGGAGGAAAAGGGATTGTAATATGGCCATCTCCCTTGGGGAGTGATTTTGCACTTTCTCTCTTTCTCTGTCTCTCTCTGGAGAGCACATGCTCTCCACTTAGAGAGTGATCTGAGAAGATGCAGGAGTGGTAGGTGGACACAAGACATGGGAAGCTTGGTGTTCAGTGATTTAAAAACTTGGTTCAATGATTAAAAAGCTTGGCACGGTGGTTAAGGCACTGCACTCCCACATGGTTGCCTATGGTTTGAGTCCCAGACCCAGTGGCTTAAAATACACCGGGTATGTGAGAATGGAGGAGAAGGGATTGCAAATCCTGAAAGGAGAATGGAGGAGAAGGGATTGCAGCGTGGCCATCTCCCCCAGGTGTGTGGGGGGTGTAATTTCTTGCTTTCTGTCTCTCAGTCTCTCTGTCTCTCTGGTGAGCACAAGCACCCCACAGCAAAAATTTTTCTTAAAAATAAAAATAGTGGCAGTTGGAATCCTGAAAAGATTAAAAACAAGGAAATGGTAAGCTATGTGTTCTAGAAAGAGCTCTTTTGGCAAAAATTTCAAAACCATTCATGCCTTTTTTGCCTAGCAGTTCAATTTGTAGGAAATTACTGTGCATGAGAGCAAAGATTTAGCTACTTGAAAACTAGTGAAATTACCCTTGCAGGAGTTTTTGTAAGCTCAAATAAGAGGTGCATGTGAAAAATGTATGTAAAACATAAAGCATTACATAAATGTAAATAACATTAATGACAATAATTGTAATCTCTAATCATTGCTTTTGTACATTTGATAGGCATTGTCCTCAATTCAAATGTATGGAATGATTGGCTTTTATCCCGTTTTTAGAAATGGCGGGAACCAGCAGTTAGCGTAATGGCTATGTCGCTGGACTCCCACGTAGTCGACCGCGGTTCGCGTCACGGACCCGGTGGCTTAAAACTCACGCCAGGTGTGTGTGCGTGCGTGCCCAAGATCCCGAGAGGAGAATGGAGGAGAAGGGATTGTGGCATGACCATCTTCCCTGGGGGGTGATTTCTCGCTTTCTGTCTCTATGTCTCTCTCTGTCTGTCTGGCGAGCACACACGCCCTATAGCGAAAACCTCTCCAAAAAAAAGAACCAAAAAAGAAATGGCGTTTGTTCCTAGGGTTCAACTCATTAATCAAAAGGGGACAGCTAGCAAATGGCTAACTTTTTGTGATGTGGATTCATGTGGTATGGTATGGCAATCCATAGAAAAATGTCCATTTAAAGAAATTATTTCTATGGTGATTATTCAAAGCCTTTTTGGTTGTAAGTAGCAAAAACTTACACCAAATGGTTCTAGAAAAAAAAGGAATGCTTTTGTTTTTGTTTTGGGTTCATATATCTGAAAGTCCAAGGCTATCTGACTTCAGGTATGGTTGGAACAAGGAAGTGAAACAATATTATTGTACTTTTCTATTTCTTTCATTTTTTTGTGATCTTATCTCATTCTCTGCTGTCTTAGATCAGCTTCCCTATGTAGCCATAAATAAGTAACTCCAGGGTTTTTTCCCTCCGTTACATGCTTCTGATAATCAGATATTCTTTCTTAGCTGCCCTAGCAGAATAGTCCCAAGAAGGACATTTGGCCATGTTCTGGCCCCTGTCCATCCCTAAAGGAATCATTATAGGCTAAGGAATGGAGCTCTCTGATTGGTCAGAATTGTATCGCATACCCACTCCCATTGGGCGGCAGATGGCACTGTAATGGGCAGCCTATACTAAACCAGAAGCCTATTCCTGAACCAGAAGAAAAGGTGTAAGGGGGGGAAAATTAGCAGCTACATTTGTACTTCAGGGCAACCTCAGCTGAGAGCTCTGTATTCTAGAAGGTGTACTTAGTGAGAGATGAATTCAGGAGTCTTGACTTTCCTGATGGTTTTTCCCCCTTTGAGGTTGGTTCTTTTTGTTCTTTTTTTTTTTTTTTTTTTTTTTTTTTTTTTTTTTTTTTTTTTTTTTTTTTTTTTTTTTTTTTTTGGTGAGGTTTTTGCTATAGGGTGCGTGCACTCACCAGACAGAGAGAGACATAGAGACAGAAAGCAGGAAATCACCCCCCAGGGGGATGGCCACACCGCAATCCTTTCTCCTCCATTCTCCTCTCAGGATCTTGGGCACGCACGCACACGTGCCCGGCGTGAGTTTAAGCCACCAGGTCTGGGACTTGAACCGCAGTCGACTATGTGAGAGTCCAGCGACATAGCCATTATGCTAACTGCTGGTCCCTTGAGGTTGGTCCTTGAGGTCTGGTAGGTCACTGATATCATGAATGATGTGATGGACTGTTTCTTTACAATTCTCAAGAGATTATAAACTTCAGTTCTAACATCCTTAAAAAGGATAGCAGACTAAAATTGTGCACAGAATTTTGTTTACATTATGCATTTTCTCAGGAGAGGGACCAAAGCTTTCTTTGGCTGAAAAGCTTCTAGTGAGCGAAAAGATTAAGAAGCCTCTGGTGTTTCTCAATGAGGGTACCACCGACACATTGGGACAAGAAAGTTGGTTATCGTGCAAGATGTTTGGCGTCTCTGGCCCATACCCCTTAAATACCTTTACCATCCCCTCCACCCGTATTCCAATCAGCTAAATGAATTGGGTTGTCAGAAAAGCCATGATGTATATTTTCTGGGCAAAAATGCATCATGACTTTTCCGACAACCTGGTATTAAGACTCAGACCCTACCCTTCCTCTTTCTCTGGCAGAGAGTTAATACTTTTAATATTTTTTCTGATTTTCTGAAGTTGGCTTATCAGGGAATCTGGAGTCCCACACTCATAAGTACAAAATGCTCATTTTCAGGTATCTTGTCTTTTTAATGGTGATAACTAAGGACCTAAAAGTATTGTTTGGGGCACTACAGTTTATTATGGGGTCTTGGTAATTGCTACTGCAACACAATGTGCCTCTTGCAGTTTTTTAAAAACTAGTCTCTTTGAGATTCTTAGCTCTAAAATCAACCCATCCTACCAGAGCTCTTTTCTGTTGTGAAATTAAAATGGCTAATTAAAGGTGTCCAGTCATTAATGAGGGCTCTGTAGAGTTCTCTTTTAAGACCATTAGTTAGTTTCCTATTTCTGAAAGGACAAACACACAGGTAAGAGGTTAGTCTGAAAGAAATATCTTCAAGATCTAATAAAGAAAAGAATGATCACTGAGTAGCTTTTTTTCTTTTTTTAAAAAAATAGATTACAAATCACTTTCTCTTACATTTGACCTCGCAACACTTTTTAAAGCAGGTTTGCCAATCTCCTTTTTAATAGAGGAAGAAACTGAAGCTTCTAGGAATTAAGCAACATGCCCAAGATTGCACAGTGCTTCTTAGAAGGATGCTGAGATTTTTCAACTCTGAGTCTTATACCTGTAAATGCCACTCTCAATTCTGTACTGCCTCCAAGATGCCTGGACACTTAAAAGAAGGACCACATCCTAGTGGATCTAACCAGAGAGAAGGACTGGCAGTATAAGCGAGCTATAACCAGGTGCTGGGGAGCTCAGGAGGGGGTTGACACTTGTGCAGTTGATGTGCCTCACGACTTCACTCCTGAAATGTTAGGGCAATCGCATTTGAACTTCCAGCCAGCAGAGAAATTAAAAGCAGACAGTGACGGCGTTGTTTCGCAACTTTGTGCCTTTTAAATTACCCGACTCTTTCAAGTGCTGCTTTAAATTAGAAGTAGCTAATTGGACGAAGGGGAGAAAGCCTCTCAGCTGATGAACAGTATTGTAATAAGCCCAGACTGAATTCTAGAAAAGGATCGCTCAAGAACAATTACTCTAGTAACGTTTTCATTGCAAGTGACGGAAAGTTCTCTCGCTGTGTTTCAGTCCGAGGACAAGTTGATATGTCGCAGCAGCCCAGGGAAGCATGCAGACTGATACGAAGTCCTTTTATTTTAAGACTGGGTCGAATATTAAAACTTCCTAGTGCCCAAACTCTTTCATTTTATTTTCAAAATAAGGACTCGGCGTGCCCTCGCGAAAGTCTGAGGTGGAAGGAGGGCTGGCGGTAGAGGAAAGGCTGAATCCGTTCTTATTACTATTAAAATAGCCAAGTATGTACCCTTGAAGCAAGTGGGGAGAGAGGGAGAGGAGCTGCTGACATTGACAATGAATCCAAACAGGAGTTGCGCTAGCGGTGTCCACCACGTTGCCTCTCCCCCCTGCCTGGCCTTCTGGGAGTTGTAGTTTGAGCGGACGCGGCTCTTCTGGCGAGCCGGGGATGCTCCGCCCGGATGGAACTACAGATCCCAGGCAGCTCCGGCCGCCGGCCCCTCCCGCCTGGGGGATCGCACTACAGATCCCGGGCCGCTCCGGCCGCCGGCCCCTCCCGCCAGGGTACAAGTGTAAACTCACCGCGCCGGGGCGGGCGGCGGCAAGCGGGCAAGCGGGCTGAACTCGGCACTGCGCTGGGGCGCACAGCTCAGGGGATCCAGGCCCCGCCACCTTTCCTCCGCCCCGGGGCTCTGTTCTCACGTGCGAGCAGTGGAAGGACAGGAGGCGGGAGCCATGCAGTCGGAATCGGGTATCGTGCCGGATTTCGAAGTCGGGGACGAGTTTCACGAAGAGCCCAAAACCTATTACGAACTCAAAAGTCAACCCCTGAAGAGCAGGTGAGTGGTGACAGCTGGAAGCAGACGCAGCGGGCGGCTAAGGGCCCCGCGTCTCCCATCCCTGGACTAGGAGAGCCGAGCGCCCGAGCTCTGGGACAAGGACCCCGTGCCCTTGCTCCCGGGAAGAGGGTAACTGTCCCCCGCAGTTGGGGTCGCGCCCTGCCAGCCCGCGCGCATCTCGGAGAGACTGATGGAGCGCATTTTGAGGGTGTCGTAGGCCGTCCGGGAGGGCGCGCCCGGTGCGGGGACCCTCCACTAGGGATCCTCCGCTGGGGATGCCAGCTGCTGAGCTCGGATGGGGGCTGGGGAGCGACCCAGCGAGAGGTGGGGGAGGAGGAGCGCCGAGCAGGGCCACTCTGAAAGTGGGATGGTGGAAAAAAGAGTTTCTAATGAACCCCTTTTCTGAAGACCCCAGCGAGTTGAGGTCTGGCAGAGGGAGAATTTGGGGGTGGATTGAGATGAAACTTCCAAGAGAAGCAGTGATATCGCCTGTAGGCGCCTCTTAGGAGTCCGCCCCTCCGTGCAAACCCGACCGTGGCCGCCCGCAGGTGAGGTTTCCTGGGCTCCGCCTCTCACCTTCCAGACCTCGTCTCGCTAGCGCGGTGCGGGTAGGGGGCAGCAGGTAGCGGGTGGGTGTGTCTTCTCGTCCTGGGTGAGCTCGGGGGAAATAGAGCCTCATTGAAACCCAGGCCCTCCGTAGAGGTGCTGGGGAAGAAAGGCTTGTGCCTGAGACTCATGGGAGTATCCCCTGCTTGCCAGCGGCACGTGTTTAATTTGCTGAGGACTTAAAAAACTTTTCCGCAGAGGAGCGAAGACACCCTCTGGTGTAGATTCCCACCATCACCAGTGTCCATTTGCTTCTCTACCTCCATT